AAAATTACTGAGTGTTACTATTTTTCATCAACCTCACAATGAAAAAAAAACACATATCATAACTCATAACTAATAAACTATAAAAGAATAATGTTTCAGAGTTATAAATCCAAATAAAAAACGAGACATTAGAATAATAACTAGTATCATTTAATCATCATTGCAACTTTACTCCAAATACAAAAGCATAGACATAAAGGACTATTAACATTCATGACTGTTCAACATTCAGGACTTGACTGTTAGTACTTAACATTCACAAAAACCTAAAGGTTAGTCCCCAAAAAAGATACAAAAACAATTCAGTGTACTATCATCTATTCCTATCTATTATTTGACCTAGGACTTTTACCATTTACAATACCAAAAGGGTAGTACAAAACAAAAAACAAAACATATTAGCATTCAACAAAAAAAAAATTTCTGGACACGCGTGTCGGACACGTGTCCGCGGAGTGTTCATGTCGTGTTCGAAAAAAAAAAAAAAAAAAATGCATGTCGGACACACCCCCATGGCGTGTTGGACGCGTGTCCGCAGAATGTCTGTGCCATGTCCGAAAATAAAAAAATAAAAAAAATTTTAGACATGTTTTTTGGTGTGTCCGACACGTGTTGGGGCGTGTCTGACACGTGTCGCGGCGTGTTCGACACTTGTCGGACACGGATTCTTTACCCATTTTGGCGTGTCCATGCTTCCTAGCTTTTTAGGATTGTTGCGGATAGATATGCTATGGTAGCGGACTGTCATCGGCTTGATAGTGGAAGGCTTACCTGGGATGTGCGTTTTCGGCGTTCTTTTCAAGATTGAGAAATTTATTTATTTTTTGATGAGTCAAGATTGGGAACTTGATGTCTTTGGCCTGTTGGATCTTTTGTATAGACAAGATTTGGATGGTAGAGGGTCTGATTCATTGGTTTGGATGCCTTCTCCTCAGGGGAGGTTTGATGTTCATTCTTTGTTCCTTTGCCTCGCCGGTTTTCATGGTTCAATTTTCCCGTGGAAGACGGTTTGGCATTTGAAGGCCCCCCTTAGGGTGGCCTTTTTTGTTTGGACTGCGGCTTGGAGCAAGATTCTCATTCTGGACAATTTGAGAAAGAGAAAACAGATCATAGTCAACTGGTATTGTATGTGTAAAAATAATGGAGTCTGTGGATTACCTTCTTTTGCATTGTCTCGTGACTTATGATTGTTGGAGTCTTATTTTTGGTTTTTTTTTGGCATCCATTGGGTTATGCCTCGGTCTTCAAGGGAGTTGATTGACATTTGGAGGGGCTAGAGGGTGGGTGGCCATGCTCGTGTCAGTTGGAGGGTGACTCCCCTTTGTGTTTGGTGGAGCATTTAGAAAGAGCGAAATAAAAGATCTTTTGATGGGGAGAAAACCTCCATTGGGGCGCTGAAATTTTCTATTAGTAGTTCTCTTTTTAGTTGGGTGATGGGGAGAAATTGTACATCTTTAGACGAGATTGTGGACTTTTTAGGTTCATTGGGTCCATAAGGTGTGTTTTTTTGTTTGGTTCCTTGTATCTCTCTTGGGATGCGTTTCCCTCTTGAACGCTTTCTAATACATTTTATTTATCAAAAAAAGAGTGTGTGACAAGGACTTGGGCTTTCATAAAGAAGAAGAATTAAAGATCTAACGAGAAAATTTATGTCTGATTTAGTCTATGTAATATAACTCTCAGCATTTTTATATGATATTTATTATTTTAACTTAGAAATACTTAATTTTTATAAGTTCATAGAAATTTGTCATAATTTCTTTTATATAAAATGTTAGTTGTTATCTATATCATGGGAAAAAATTAATTTTAAATTTATACGTAGATATGTATACTATATATTAAGTTTTTATGCACATGTATAGTGATATATCATATAATATATACATTTTTTTTTCCTCCCCCACCCCACCCCACCCCACCCCCAACACACACACACACACACACATTCTCACACAAAAGAAATTGTTTGCACCTAGTAGGAATTGATCCTCAAACCTGACATTTCATGAGGCACCAGGGCCCAAGCCTTTTCCAACTAGGCCATCCCCTTGGGGTTTATAATATATACATTAATATATCATAATCGTGTCATCGACTTATCTGTATCATATTTATATATATATATATATATATATATATATATATATATATATATATCTCAAGAATATGTCATATTGTCATGTTTGTATTATCTCTTTTTTGATAAGTTTGTCGTGTTTGTATTATCGTATCTCTATCTGTATCCATATCCGTGCTTCATAGCTCCCTCAATATCAAAGAATGGAACGTAAGAAGGTTTGCATCTCTGCATCACTTTTTTACATGCAACAATAGTTAAAATCTTGCCTAGCACCAAAGTCCACTGAAGAAGGCTAGTTGGAGCTTTCTCTTGTTTGCCAAATAGCCTTCCATGGAAATCCAAAATGACAGTTCTTCACATCAGTTTTGTCATTCTAGATAGATTTAGTGGTTCGATGGAAAATGTTATGACAAACTCAACGAACCCAAGATAGAACCAAGAATCACAACAGAAAAGTAAACACACCACACAAAGAACACAAAGATTTATACATGGTTTGGCAACAGCCTACATCGACAGTTGGGATCCGGTGAAAGTTTTCACTATGTTCGGAGATTACAAGTATTTAGCCCCTCACTCTATTTCTGTACAAAGCGTCCTTATATATCGGGCTAGAAGGGACTAATTAGGGTCCAATACCCATGAACAAAAAAACGGGTCAAAATTTTGGTGGGCTTGGCCCACACTAAACTCATCCAACGGGTTGTAGGTGGGACACAAACGCGACCCGGCACCAAATTCGGGCCACAATATCACAAAAAAAGATGAACTCTTCAATGTTAGTTGCTTCCAAGATCGATTCCAATCAATGGGTTCTATGATTACATGCCTCCATAATACAAGTTTGAGGTTCCTGAATTCTCATTTCAGCTATACAGAACTTGAGGTCGAGTTTTATGAATGTCGGGATGAATGATGTGGAGCAGGTAATTAAAATAAGGGCAAATTTGGAATTTCATAAAGGATTCATCTTGGACATTGTATAATCAAATTTTGGATTAGATTGAGTCTTTATTTATGTTTATATCAGATAAGTATGCTGCTGGTATAATTTATTTATTTATTTTTAAAAAATTTAGGTGTCTATTATTCTGATAATTTCTAAAATAGTATTTAGTTGTCAAAGTTTCAAGGTCTTGACATGTGTGTGTGTTTGGAACATTCTGTTTTAGATTCTTTAGTAGATGTTATTTAGTAACTAATAATATCTATGTCAAAGTTTTTAGATTTTGATAGAAGTTTTTGAAGCATTGTGTGATGTAGTCTTATAAAAGTGTGATTCCTAATGAATTCTTGGTAGGATTCCTACAATAAATGTCTATGTTGAAGTTTCCTGAACTTGAAAGTAGCTTAATGCATCTTATTTAAGGGTGCGATTCCTAATTCCTACATCCTTCTTATTTGTGTCCTTGTTATCTATTAGTTATTTAATCATGAGTTACAGTTCATTGTCCCAAAACAAGGCCAATATCTCACAAAGCTCTAATCTGATCCAACTATTTTCTTACCTTTTGGTCTTTAATTTAACACCAAAACTCCAAAATCCTTGCTGTCCAAAATTTCCAGCAAAGTCTCCATTTGGATTGAAAATTTTCAAATTAATGGATTTAGGTTCAATTATTTAAGGATTTTTACATCTAGATTTAACAAAATGCATATATGATTGTAATAACATATATTTAGATTTGACAGTAACAAGGTAGAATGGATTACCAGTAAGAATTCTAGTTGTACTAGGATTGTAATAAAATGTCTAATTCCTCCCTCAGGCTTCAGAATATTCCAATCTTTTATTAAGCTCAAATCCCTTCATTCGAAATACATTCATTTATATCCAAAAGCTTCATTAAGTTCCAAAACTGATATCTTCTAAAACAAATGACTCCCAATCATCTTTCATCTCCAAAACATAATTCCATTCTTCCATTCTTTCAAGCCCAATTCTAAAACCATTTTATAACCTTACAGTAAAATATTCTTATGCAGCATAATCCAAGATTTTCTGAAGCTATCTATCTCAACTTTACGTTGGTCATAATGCTTGATAGATCTGTAGCTGTTTCCTGGTAATCTTCTCCTCCTCTTTGAACTCCCCATTACTCTTTTTTAATAATTGCCAACTTGGGGCTCATTTATGTATAGTGTTCATTTGTAATCTTAGTGGCGGAAGAAAGAGAAGAAGGTTGGTTTAAATTGGGAGCTTTAGTTCAAGGCCCGGTAGGACATTTAAAAGATATATAATTAACAGCTGGTATATGAATTGAGTAGTAATTCTTTAATTAGTTTGATGTATAACTGAATAGTGATGTTTTATAAAGGAGAAACTAAGAAAGTATACAAATTAGTGAAGGCATGCCTTCACAAACGAAAGCTGGAATTGAATAAAACCTTGTCCATTACAAAATCAAGATGAACCCAGAAACCATGAACAAGAAAAAGGAAATATAAAAATACTTCATGAAGCAGGAAATAAGATTTGTAATACTTGGATCTGTAACCCCAACTGATGTAAACAGTCCCAATTAACCATAGGCACAACTTCTTTGGCTGATTGCTTTGTATCCTCATGCAAAGCAGCACTCTGTATCCAGATTGACGTTGACCATAAAACGGTAGACAACAAGCACGATTGTATTTTAGACCTGTAAGAATTCACCCTGGACTGCATCATAATCCCATCTACAAGCTTGCTCAATGAAAGAAAAACTGAAACATCTAAATGAAGCAGATCAGAGACCAGGTATCCGGTTGACTTAGCAAATGACAGTAGAAAAACATGGGTTCAATATGGTGGTTTGATGTATTTTATATTCTTATATATTTAAATCTGTGTTACTCCATCTGGCTCACATAAAAGGCTTTATCACTTCCGTCACTCATCTTATTGAATTTTTCAACACCAAATGGATTGTTGCAGGCCCACCAGAAACCAAACTTTCCATGGCTTCATACCTTGGTGAGCTGGTTTTGAACAACGATGTGAAAGTCTTTGTGGCCCAAACTGTTGGCTCGTCGCTTATCAATATCATGCGGAGTGGTAACATGCAGTCCCGAGAAGCTGCTCTAAAAGCTCTAAATCAGATCTCATCTTGTGAGCCAAGTGCCAAGGTGTTGATAGAGGCAGGCATACTTCCACCTCTTGTCAAAGATCTATTCTTTGTTGGCATGAACCAGCTTCCAATGCGACTGAAAGAAGTCTCTGCAACAATACTTGCCAGTGTGGTGAACTCAGGCTATGACTTCGACTCTATCCCAGTTGGATCTGACCACCAAACTCTGGTCTCAGAAGACATAGTTCATAACCTTCTCCATCTCATCAGCAACACTGGTCCAGCAATTGAATGCAAGCTTCTCCAGGTTCTTGTTGGACTCACCAATTCTCCCACAACTGTTATAAGTGTTGTTGCAGCCATTAAAAGCTCTGGTGCTACTATCAGTCTGGTCCAGTTTATTGAGGCTCCACAAAAGGATTTGCGTATGGCTTCCATTAAACTTCTGCAGAACCTCTCTCCACACATGGGTCAGGAACTAGCTGAGGCCCTGCGTGGCACAGCTGGTCAGCTTGGTAGTCTACTCAAAGTCATATCGGAAAATATCGGTATAACTGAGGAGCAAGCAGCAGCAGTTGGCCTTCTGGCTGATCTTCCAGCGAGGGACATGGGCCTCACAAGGCAGATGCTAGACGAAGACGCCTTTCAGTTAGTCATCTCCAGAGTGACTAGGATCCGGCAAGGGGAAACCAGAGGTAGTACTAGCCGCTTTATGACCCCATATTTGGAAGGGCTTGTTCGTGTTCTTGCAAGGGTTACCTTTGTCTTGGCTGAAGAGCCTGATGCGATTGCATTGTGCCGTGAGCACAATCTTGCTGCAGTGTTCTCTGAACTACTTCAGGCCAATGGGCTTGATAATGTACAGATGGTTTCTGCCACAGCGTTGGAAAATCTGTCCCAAGAATCTAAAAATTTGACGAAACTACCTGAGTTGCCAGCTCCTGGTTTATGTGCCTCGATCTTTCCGTGTTTTAGTAAACCACCTGTCATAACTGGTTTGTGTCGGATCCACCGCGGAACGTGTTCTTTAAAAGACACTTTTTGCCTATTGGAAGGACAGGCCGTGGAAAAGTTGGTGGCCCTTCTAGACCACAGAAACGAGAAGGTGGTTGAGGCGTCACTTGCGGCACTTTCAACCTTGTTGGACGACGGGGTTGTTATTGAGCAGGGGGTGACGATATTGTGCGAGGCAGAGGGAATCAAGCCTATACTTGATGTGTTGCTTGAGAAACGGACAGAGAATCTTCGGAGGAGGGCGGTTTGGGTGGTTGAGAGGCTTTTGCGGACTGATGATATTGCATATGAAGTTTCAGGTGATCCAAATGTGAGCACAGCGCTTGTTGATGCTTTCCAACATGGTGACTATCGAACACGGCAAATTGCAGAGCGTGCCCTTAAACACATTGACAAGATACCAAACTTCTCTGGCGTCTTCCCGAACATGGGTTAAACCTCTTCCGGATGCTTCATTCGCAACAGCAGTCATGAATTTGAGGACCTTTGTATTTATTGATTATTTTTCCCTTTTGTGTTGGGAAAGTTTTTGAGGTGCATCTAAGGTCATGGATTGCGAAGCATCATGATGAGGTAGATGGGTATTGCTCTGTTTTCTGATTTGTTGTAGAGTGTTTTCAGAAATCGTTCATTTGTTCTTATTGTTGTTTTTGTTAATTTCTGTTTTTTTTTTTTTTTTTACATGAACTGCATATGAGGTATTGCCAGTGGGATTTGGGAGTGATAATGTAATAGTAATTGTGTACATTTTCTCGGATGTTCAACAAAAGATACCATAAATTGTGCAGTTTTTTCTTCCCAATCCATCTAGTGATGCAGAGTGTCTAGAAGGAATAGTTTTGCCAATGGTGAAGTTGTAATCTACTGTTTCCAGTCCGTTTAGATTGCGTGTAGGGCTCTGTAACTTCGTGTTGGCAATGTTACTAATTAATTTATTGTTAAAAAGCTTATTTTATATAGTATTTGTATTACAAATTATAACTGTCCAATGTAAATCCATTAATAAAAGAGTTTATAGTTTATTTTATATAATATTTGGAGGGAAGTGCACTTGTCTCCACATTTAGCTCCCCATCTATTTTTAAAAATAATTAAATGACAGACCCCATGTAAAGGAGTTACTATTTATTGTTGTCAAAATACTATTCACGGCCTCGGCAACGTCAAAACTTTGTTTTGACTTTTCTCTTCCATCCGGATTCCGAATTAAGTGATTCTTGAGCAAATTCAGAAGATTTCTCAATGAGTAAATGAGAGAGATGGTTAGCGATGACATTGTCCGTCTCTTTTTTATCCCGGATTTCAATATCAAACTCTTGGAGTAAGAGTATTCATTGAATTAGTTATTAGAGTCTCCGCTAGGGATGGCAAAATCCCCAAATTCGGTGGTCCTGTCCCATCCCGTTTAGGACGGGTTTGGGGACCCTTTTATGTAAATGAGGATTGGGGTAGGTTTTGAAAACCCGGCAGGTGCCGGGGTTAAGGTAAACTCAACCTGTCCCATCCTGTCCCGTTTAGGGTATAGATTTATTAAAATAAGTAAAAATACCCTTATATATTATGATATATTATTAAATCTATATCTATATCTATACTATTATTAAATGTGCAAAGTGTTTCAGTATTTATTTATTAATTGATATAAAACTCTAAAAATTACTAAATAAAATTCAAATTACCTAATAAAATTCAAATTACAAATTACCTAATAAATCTATACTATTATTAAAAGAGTTTCTATAAAATAAAATAAAATCTAATTAGACAAGAATAAGTTTACCACAAATTATCTATTTTTATTTTCAATAAAATTCTATCACATTAGACAAATATATATTTAAAGAGTTTCTATAAAACTCTAAAACAAATTACCTATTTATCTATTTATTATGAATTTTAAATAAAAGGAAATCTAATTATACGAGTATTATTAATATAAAAAATTATTTATTAATAGATATAATAAAAGGAAATCTAATTAGAGAAAGGATATATTTGAAGAAAATAAAATAATTTATATAAAACTCTACTACAAATTACTTATTTTATTTTCAATAAAATTCTATCACATCAGAAAAAAATATGTTTAAAGAGTTTTATTTTATTTGAAATTCAATCGAGGGTACATGTCATCAAGCCTATATAAATAGAGACATGGAGGAAGAAGAAAATGAGACAAAATTAGAGAATTCTAGAAATCTCCAGAAAGTCTCGGTCTTGAGAAACTCAAAAGTGTAGAAATTTATAGACTCAGAGTATCAAATCATCTCTGCCTTGAAGATGGAATTTCTCAAAAGAACTCTATGTTATTCTTAATGAAAGTCATTCTGGCATGAATTTTTTGATATGCTTAAGTTCGGTCAAACTTGTGTGGTCAAAATAGGCATATTGTGAAATCCTAATTCTCTTGATTGCAGAAATTGTTTGAATTAAATATTGCCATTCTACTGTTCTTTTAGATGCCGTCCAACTTTATCAGGCAGTTGGACCCTGAATTGTGTATGGTTGTGATTTGTATTAAATTTTATAATCTTTTACATCCTGCGAGTCGCATACTGGAAGGAGAATTTGGAATGTTTTGATTTCTTAGATCCCCAAGCTCATGTCTTGTTGAATTTTGCCGAGTAAATGTGAATTTTGCACATGCAATTACCATTTACCAGTTTGTTGTAGATGTGCTGTATATGTAGATTTTAGTATAGAAAATTTACATCACTCAGAGACTCACAATAATCCTTTTCTTAAACAAAGAAAAACTGTATAATACTGTTGAATACTTTAGTTCTATAAAGAGTTTTTATAAAAAGAGTTTTATAATATTTATTAATTAATATAAAAATAGTTTTTATAAAAAGAGTTATTTATGAATTAATATAAAAATAGATTTTATAAAACTCTAAAAATTACCCAAAAAAATAAATCACCACTTTCAAATTACCTAATAAATCTATATTATTATTAAAAAAGTTTCAATAAACTGTAACACAAAATATTAAAAAATACTTTTAAGAGTTTTATAATATTTAGTTTCTATAAAACTCTAAAAATTAGCAAATAAAATCAATCACCATTTTCAAATTACCTAATAAAACTCTAAAAATATAAAAAACAAATTACCTAATAAATTTAAATTGCAAAAATAGTTTTTATAAAAAGAGTTTCTATAAAACTATAAAATAATTATTAATTAATATAAAACATTTATTAAAAAATATTTATTAATTAATATAAAAAGAGTTTCTATAAAACTCTAAAAATTAGCTAATAAAATCAATCAACACTTTCAAATTACCTAATAAAATTCAAATTAAAAATTACCTAATAAATCTATACTATTATTGAAAGAGTTTCTATAAAACTCTAACACAAAATATAAAAAAATATCACTATTTTCAAATTACCTAATAAAATTCAAATTACAAAAATAGTTTTTATAACAAGAGTTTCTATAAAACAATAAAATATTTATTAATTAGTATAAAAAAATCTATATTATTATTAAAAGAGTTTCTATAAAACTCTTAGACAATATATATATATATAAATATTTATTAATTAATATAAAAAGAGTTTTTATAAAAAGAGTTTCTATAAAACTATAAAATATTTATTAATTGATATAAAAAGAGTTTATGAAAATATTCTCTATAAAATTCTAAAAATTACCTAATAAAATTAATCACAATTTTCAAATTACTTAATAAAATTCAAATTACAAATTACGTAATAAATCTATTTTCTATAAAATTCTAGCACAAAATATAAAAAAATATTCATTAATTAATATAAAAGAGTTTTTATAAAAAAAAATTCTAAAAATTACCTCATAAAATTTAAATTACCTATTTTATCTATTTATTTCTAAGAAACTATACTATTATTAAAAAAAAATCCTAAAAATTACCTAATAAAATTCAAAGTACTTATACTATTATTAAAAGAGTTTCTATAAAACTCAAATATAATTTTTTTTATTAATTAATATATAAATAATTAAAAAATATATGAAAAAAAAATTGGTTGTACTAAATCTTAGAATTTGAGAATAAGAAAAATGAAGTACTAAAAAAAATTATACTGTTAATCAGTTATGGGGCGGGACGAGTATGGGGGTTGCCATCCCTTCTCAACCCTCCTTTCACGTCGTTTCTTTACAAAACAAGGGGAAAACAATGGTTTAGGAGACTTCCGACCACGTCGTCATTTTTTGGATAAATTTAGAAAACAATACAAATAATCATATAACGGATCATATCGATGGAGATATTTTTTTCGACTTCCCTCCAGCAAAAGGACATATGAATTGAAACAACCAAAAAAAGGTTCCTAGTTTTTCTTTGTTTTATTAAGAGTGATTATTGGTCTATTGTCAAATTATGTTGATATTAATTTAATTTTGATAACACCGAATCGCTATCTTAAATTTGGGATGAAAGAATGGTGATTCGTGCTCCTAAATATATTATTAAACATATTTCTACCAAGCTCTTTGTGCCATCTGGAAGTTGGAACTTATAACCCAAAAGGTAGAAGTACTACTGTCCACGTCTTCTCCTGTGCACTCTGATATTTCTTTGTGTTGGAAGCATTAAGTTTTAACCCTCTTTATTTGGCTTTTCAATTTCTATTCAGATCTGGTAAATGGATGACCCAAATCTTAATCCACTCAATATATTTTCCGCAAAATTCTCTTCAGAAGGTTACCCAAAAATTAGAAAAAGAAAACCGTCTTCTTCCATTCAAGCAAATCTTTTGTCTTCAAATATAGATTTATTTATTTATTTGCTAAAATGACTATTAAAAAACGTGCAAGTTTTAAAAACTTTTTGAAGGATTTTCATACACAGATCTTGATTCATTACATAGAGATAAATTTTATACAAAAAATAAAATATGATGTATCATTCAATTAATAGATTGAATACTTTTATCAAACCTGTAAACCTTAAATCTCTTCTCTAAAGTGAATGTTCTCACTTATTGTAAATTCCTTTACTAGATGCCATCTCCTTATATCTCCATCTTTTTGGTAATAGTTTTGACTTTAGGAATCACCCATAAGTCTCCATGAATGACCTTAGAAAATTAAGTTTGTGAGAGCCTCCATTAGATGAGAAAGCAAACCCTAAAATCTAGAGAGAAAAAAAATATATTCCTTTTTATTTTTCAAAAGCCTCTACTAAAATATTCATGAACCCTGTATATATAGGCAATATAAAAATCAGAAAAAGAAACAATAAATCATTCTCCATCTCTAATTCACATATCTCAAATCTAATATGATTCAAATATCAAGTTGGGCTATGAGTGAGAATCCTATTGGACTTATTATTTTCTTGGCTACAATGAATTAATAATTGGCCGGTCCAATGATCCAATTAAATTAATTAATTAATTAATTTCTACTCCACTAAAAGAAATTAATTGAACTCTAATTAAATAATAAATAACCTCTAAGTCAATGTTGCACTTTGATCTCTCTATGCATAATTAGTTATCAGATAAATAAAGCCATCAATCCGACTACTTAATTAATATATTTATTTTGGAATCTTTGATTATTTCTGGCTCGATCACAATAAAATATTTGTTTGACAAAAATAATAATTTAAATAAATAAATATATAATAAATCATTTTGTCTAAAAACGCACAAAGGCCTTCGAATTTAATTTATGATTAACCATAATCAATAGAAAATAAATACAAGTAGCATTGATGCAAATATCGAGAATATAACCCTCTAACTATTAATTACATAACTACCCAAAATATAAGTCTAAGGATCCCGAAATATCTGCTT